CAGATGCTGGTGATTCATGTTGTTTATGTTTGGTGGATTTATTGACAGATTTCATAGGTTTAGGAGTTCTAACTTTACGAACAGAAGGTTTATCAAATGAAACAGTTTTCCATTGGTCTCTTTTCTTTTTGGGCTTTTATTTTAGGAAATAATTCATTACGATAATCGAAGGCTTCTTTTGCGATTCTTTTATATTCATTTTTTACTTCTTCAGGTTCTTGTTCCCATGATCGAGATACCATTAGAGAGATAATATTCATTGGAAAGTTATAACCACTTGTACGAGCTGTTTCAACAAATAATTTTCGATAAATAATAAAGGCGTTAGGAGTTTTAGGAACACGACCATTGGGGTGGAAAATAACTAAATCATGTGGATTAATTTCTGGTGGGAATGGAAGTTTGATAAGTTGCGGATTGTCGATCACCTGATTTTGAATCATGGGATCATTTCCGGAATTTATGAAGACGCAAGCACGATTAACAAAGCTAGTTTGGTATTCGCTCATGTTTATTAAATTTTTGCTAGTTATAAGCTTTAATGTTTTAAATATCTGTTTTTCTTTTTTTTTATACGCTGAACTGATGATTGGAATAATTCTAAATTCCATTGTATTTATATTTTTTTTTATCCTCGGACTAGGGTTCTAAATTGTTACAATCTATTAATTTTATTTAATTACTAAATGTGGATATTGTTCGGTTCTCTTGGAATTTCTGATCTATTTATAAAATGACGTTATCTTGCACACAATATGTAATTACACCGCAATTATCCCTAATGATTCTAATCGTTCTAAATATAACTTATTGTTGGTGTGCTTGAAATAAATCTCTATGCTTCTAAAAAAGAGTGGCGTTATGTCAAATCTAAACCCACCATAGATATACTATGTTAGTATGTTTCGTTACACTCAATAATTTTATTTGGTTATGGCGCCCAAATTGTATGCCACAATGGCTGTGATGTCAAGTTTTGATTTGTTACGAGACGTTACACGAGTTTATGTCTCGGTTTTAAAGACAAACATCTCGCAAATAAGAAAAACTTGTGGCTTTCAAATTCATAGTCATTAATCACAGGATTTCCTTCTAATAATTCAGAAAATTGGAAAAGATCCAATATTACTCTAGATAAATATATGCATATTTACATTCGAAATCTTTATTAAGCTAATATTGAAACTATATAAAGTATCTCTCTACTATGGGCGAAACCTGGAGGTTTCGTGTTAACAAAACACAAAACTAGAGTTTGGAACCGGATTTTTGAAGGTTGAATTCGGTAAATAAAATTGAAAACCTCAAGGTTTTGTATAGCATAATTTTCTTTATAATCCTTTAAACTATCCAGTTTAGCAGACAAATTTGCCTGCTAAATTCATATCTGATTTACTTTTATCAAAGATGAAATTTTTTTTAATTAAACTTTAGGCCATACAAAATTAAGTTTTTGTTTCTTATAATAAAAATGACCCGGCCGGCTAGTTTATTTTTAAAATTTTTTGAAACCTACCCGACTATTAAAAAGTATAAATAATTTTTTTTCAAAAGTTTTCAAAATTTGATCCGACCAGGTTATGAGAAACAATTAATTAAATTTGTATGGTCTTATCTAAAAATTATTTAATATTTATAAAGTTATAAAAAAAATTTATAATTTTTTTTAAAAAAAAATTAACTTTTAATTTTATAAGATTTAACTTCACTATCTTAATAAAAAGTTGTAAAAAAATTAAAATTAAATAATTTTTATGGATTTACTAAAACACACCTATGGTGTTTTACACCTATGTATACATTATCTCAAAAACTGGCTAATTAATCGGTGTGAGGTGTTCTAAGTAAAAATGTTCTACTCCCACAAAAACCCTTCCCAAACCCTAATCCTAACCTTAATATTAACTTTAACGTGAAAAAAATTGGTGTTAAATATTTTATATACAAAACTAAAAAAACATAATAAAAACATATAATAGGTAAGTGCGTTTTATAATAATTGGTTTTAATTTACTTATTAATAAAAAAAAAAATGTTTATTAAACAAATTTTAAAAAAATTTAAAAAACTTTTTAAAAATTATTTTAGCAGGCAAATTTGCTTGCTAGATAGTTTAAAAATAAACCTAAAAATTCTAATTTATAGTCAACTAATTCAATCATGCTAGAAGAATAGACTAAATTTAATATTAGCCCAGATATTTTGCTACTAAAGAACTTGTACTTATTTAAATTAAAGCATCAAAAGTTTATTTAGATATACATAAAAATAACAAAACTTCTTGACAAAAACATTTCTAGTGACCTCACTATATAGTATAGACGCTGCCAAAATAAATTTTACAATAATTACTAATTCTTTTCATTGAAAAACTTCCTTATTTAAATTTTGACAGCAGCTATACTCTATAGCGTATAATATACAGTAATTTTGGTTGTACAATAGGCAGTGATGTATTTGTTTCTAAGCAAAGTCCGTCAGAGTAAGGTCTTTTTCTTTTGCATAGCGAATATTAACAGTGCCCTAAAGCTATAGGTGGTTTTTGCAACGATTTTTTTTAATAATTAAATACTTTAAAACTACCTTCAAGTTTCTTTTCTATGTCAATTTTAACAAAAAGTCGCTACTAAATCAACACTACTTAAATTAGAGATTATTAGAGATTATTTTTAAAGGTAGTGTTCTGATACTTCAACGAAGCGATTTAGACGTAACCCTCGTTAATATCAACCCATTTGGATCAGAAAATTATCTTGTTATATATGAAGGTTGATAACAAAGAGGTAAAATTTATATAGTCTTAGTCTGAATCAAATTTCTTACAAGTTTAGGTTGACATTAACGAAGCTGTATTGTTACTCTCAATTTCTTAAAAGCATATCGATATACATATAAATAAGTTACCAGATTGATTTGCATCAACCAATCAGACGAATTTCTTCCTGAGATAAAATCCATATATGTATATATTGTCGCAGATCATAATGAAATCGGATTAAAATGAAATGAGGGGTTTCTATTTGACCCTCTAAAACCCATTTATACTTGTTTATTATAAAACCTGCTTCTAAACCCTAATCCTAACCCTAAAAAAATGCCAAAAAAATGCACCCCAAAAATTTGTATTTTTCGGTGGCTTGTCTATTTTTCACTATCCCTCATTTCATTTTAATCTGATTTCATTTTAATCTGCCACATATATTGTCAATGATTGTGTTAAATTTAACTTCTTTTTTGATAATTATGGAAGAAGCTAACGAATTGTTTTAACAGGGAACAAAACTTTGGTCTCAGGATGGAGACGATAACAAGAAAAAAGCGTTTAAATATTTACAAAAAGCTGCCGAATTAGACCATTCCAGTGCAATATCATTGGCGTTTGTTATCAAAACGGAGAAGGGGTCGAATTAGATGAGCATAAATAAAGCCTTTGTATATTTTCAAAAATCGGATCGTGTCTTTTGCCATATAGAGCAGAATAGGAAATTTTTAGGGTTTCTAAAAAAGATCCGGAAGCTTTAGATATGGAATTATAGAAGAGTCTGTGGAAGATTCATACATATTGATTTGTTTGTCAATTAATCAAATAAATACTGTAGTATAATAAATGAAATATCAAATTCTAAAATATAATGTTCATAACGATAAAGATACCGATACTCAAATGATTAATAATTATCACCTTTGTTGTTTCCTGTGTTTCTATTAGTTTTTTGGTATTTTTATTATTCTCTTTATTTCCTAGAATTGTTACAAAGGCGGGAATATTTTTCTGCAAATAATACTACAGTTCTTAGAATAAATCAAATAGAATTCTTTTCTATGTATGAAACTATTTCACTTATATTTGAATTATTTTGTAACTCTTTTTAATGTTATTTCAGTGTAATTAATAAACTAAATCCACATTTTATTTTTAATAAAGAATATTTACGGTGGGTTAAAATACCTTCCAATATAAAAAACATGAAAATAAAACATTTAAGATATTATTATAGAGAAAACAGAATTTCTTATAACTGATTTTAAAAGAAATTATAGAAAACTGTAATTTAACGATGATATATTAAGAATCATGAAGGAATTTCAAGGTTATCAATCGACTTGCTACCAACTATCATTGATAATCTTTCAGTGATCTCTCGCGTGTTGATATGCTTGCTCGTGTACATGTGATCTGGGTGTTTTTGAGAATATATTGGTAAATTGCTGACTATTTTATCTGCCTCTAAGAATTGAATTTTAAATATGTTTTCGTTTGGATCCACTAAACTTTTATTCCATCCATTAAATTTACTCGTTATATCAAAGGCCGTAGGTCTTTTTTGTGGATCGGGATCCATACATTGCTTAGCTAATTCAATGTAACAATTGGGTGTTCCAGAAGTAAATTCAAGCTGCATCCCTAAACAAATTTTTATTGCAAGATGATTATCAAATGAAAATCCATCATAAGGTCTTTGACCGCTTGATATTTCCCACATGATGACACCGAAAGCGTAGATATCAGCTGCTTGCATGAACGATTTTCCTTGTAAAACTTCTGGAGCAATATAAGGTAAAACACCATAAATCCCTTCAGCTTTACTTTTCATATATGATGAAAGACCTAAATCTGAAATATATGCATTGTCTATCTCTTTTTGTAAAATGTTACCGCTATGTAAATCTTTATGAATGTATCCTTGAAAATGGATCATATCAAGATCTGAAATTATGCATTGTAACAATTTTATCTTTCTTTTCCAATCCATTCGTGATACGTCATAAATATTTCTACCTAAAGATCCCATATTAGCATACTCTAAAACAATGATATATTTATCTTTATCATCTTTTGTTATTCCATAACATTTCAAAAATGATGGATATATCTCATTAATTTCACAGAAGATTCTTAACTCTTTTATAAATTCTAGATGATCATTTAGTTCAAGTATTTTGAGCGCAATATCAACTCTAAAATTGCGGCTTTTATCAATCCAATTTGCACAATAAACAGTTGCAAATCCACCTTTCCCTATCATCTGAACGACATTGAATTCATCATAAGGAATCCATGGCAATTGATATTTATTCTTGATCAACATTTTCTTTAAATCGTTATCAATGCCAGCCCATTTAGATGCACATTCATATGCAATTAACGTTGAATTTTTTACTCTGTTTTATATATATATATATATATAATATTTAATAAATAAATTAATATACTGTACAAATAAAAATTAAATAATATTTTTACCTTCGATACCAATAGTTGGCTTTTTGTAAATCTCTTTCAACACCAATTCCATTTCGATAACAATCACCAAGTTTAATCATTGCATTCATATTACCCATCTCTGCTGATTTTTGATTATATATGAACGCTTTATGCTTGTCCTTTGGGACTCCAATTCCATATTGATAACAAGATCCTATTTGACTTATTGCAACAGCATTTCCCATCTCTGCAGATTTTTGATAATAAATGAATGCTTTATGCTCGTCCTTTGAGACTCCAATTCCATTTTTATAAAAAGATCCTATTGAATATATCGCAGCAGCATTTCCCATCTCTGCAGTTTTTTGATAATAAATGAATGCCTTATGCTCGTCCTTTGAAACTCCAATTCCATAATGATAACAATATCCTATTGAATATATCACAGAAACATTTCCCGTATCTGCAGATTTTTGATAATAAATGAATGCCTTATGCTCGTCCTTTAAGACACCAATTCCATGACGATAACAATATCCCATTGAATTTATCGCAGCAGCATTTCCCATCTCTGCAGATTTTTGATAATAAATGAATGCCTTATGCTCGTCCTTTGAGACTCCAATTCCATTTT